AATGTCCCTCTAGTGGTTTCCTCAGCCTCTGCAAATTATTTGCACAGAAAACTCTTTCTTTTCATGCTAGATTCCTAGCGGTAAGGTAAGACATTAGTGAGCTCAAAATTTCATATTTTTTTAGACCCAAATACAGCTAAGTTACTAAGCTTGATAAATTATAGTGAAATTCTGTGGTACTGATATAGTAATTTATGATTATTTCAAAATGTATATATAAAACCTAAAAAAAATAAATATTTGTTTTCACATTCTCCACATACGAAATTTGGTAAGGCTTAGCAAATTATGGCAAGTAGCAAACGAGTACAAAGTTCGTAACTAGAAGAGATAATTGTTTGCTATACTTCTTTACTTACTGTTCTATGTTTTAATAAAAATAAGTTTATGAACTTATTTGTAAACAGTAATAATCTATATACATATATAATGTATCATAATTGAAATGTGACTGTATTTTACAAAATATTAGTCCACTAAAACACAGCCAAGACAGGTCACTTTGTAAAGGCTAGTTTTATATTCTTGGATATGGTAACATGAGTGAACAAGCACTGCATCATTGTAACTTTGGTTTTGTTAGCTAGGCATGGCTGAAAGGTTAATATAATAAATATATATAACATTTTTATATATATATATTTATTTATTATTAAGATTTTGCATGTGAAATTTTAAAATTTTCTGATGCATTACTTTGCATGTTGGATAGTCAACATTCAGAAAGAAAGAAGGCATGAGAAAAAAACATTACTTAAGAAATCTAAAAACTTAATACAAAAATCTGATATTTTGCATACTAAAGCCTTGTAATGTTTGTTGATAATATGCACAATTTCATGAAGATGCACTTACTAATTTAAAAGTTATAGCATGAAAACTAACAGCCACAAAATGGTTAAGAAGTCGGTAACTGGGACTGAACCCATGCTGAAAGAGAGAATATAATTTTCATACCACAGTACCTTAATTACAGGTAAATGCTACATAACTCATTTCTGTATTTTTATTTTTTTCACTAAAACCTGCAATTTCAGTGAAAAGAAAGAATCCACGTAAGATACAGAGGCCTAAACTATTATCCAACTCATTATTCTGTATTCAGTAAACTACTACAGTTTTGCTAAGTTATGGCTCTTCACAGGCACAGATCTAAGAAATGGGTCCAGGGGGTCTGGGCCTTCTAATTTTTTTTTTAATTAATTAAAAAAAAGCCAGACATTCTAACACTATCATACAGTATCAAAAAGAAACATTTGATGCCATGGATTTTATTTGATTGAGCTATTAATTACCATAAAAACTTTTTACAGGTTTTCTGAAGTCAACACAGCTGGTGTCTACAGCAGTGCAGTTAAGGTCTAACCAAATAATTGATGATTTCTAAGCTAATACAATAATATGAACATCAATTAAATGTTTCCATGCAAAATATTCATGCCTTGGCTCTTTACAGATTTTCTTTTACAATGTGTGTGTGGACTTTAGAGATTTGTTTTCATCAAAGTTTGTATGGTTTAGGTTAGGACACCTGCAGCTCTTATAAATTTATTACAGAACCAATTTTTCATTGTTTAGGAGTTAGAATTCTCATGAGAAAGATGTGTTTCATACAGATGATGTATAAAACAAGTGTAAGTAATGACTTTTTAAAATTCTTCGTATAGGGGCATCCTGTTTACAAATACTATAATATGAATTTAGGTGTAGACTTTATCATTGTTTTTTCTAAATATGTTTGTAAATAATTAAAACTATTTAATTTTGATTAGAAAATATTAAATGTTTGTTATCAACTGTTTTTATTTTCATATCAATCAAATTACTAGAAATAAAGCTACAAACTTTAACATCACTGGATTATAACCTAACTGAGTTAATTATAATGAATATTGTAGGCTTTATAATTGATTTTATTACTAAAGTTACTAGTAGCATAAAGTTATAGGTAAAATAAACTCTGAAAGCAATATAAATTTATAATTAGTGTTATTATAGGTTAGTTGGACCTCCTTGAACCAGCTTATCCAACACTAGGAAGAGTATCCATCACAGAGTGAGAAAGCCATCCACTGAAAACTGAGGAAAGAACACAGTTGGTTCAAGTGGGACAGATAGATAACAGGCCAGCAACTCCTCTTCAAAATAGAAATGGCAAAAAGACAGAAGTAAAATTCCACCCTGGGATGAGCAAGTGTCTCATAGCATTCTAAACAAGGAGGTGAAAAGTAGATGGACAAAAGGACAGGAGAAAACCCCTTAAAAATCACCTGAGAAATTCAATAGTGTGTAGCAATGGGAGTCCACAAGCGTACAAAATGGAAGAGCAGAGCTCCCACTGAATTGGAGTCAAAGAGTGGCTCTAGGCATAAATTGCTTCCAAGACCCGAGATGGCCAGCCCCCAAAGAGAAGGACCCTGGATAGTAAAAAGAAAACAAAAGCAGCCCCATGCAGTTGCATTGGATGGAAAACCTGGAGGCAACCCCCAGTCTCAAAGATAAGAAACTAAAGTGAGCAGGAATGACTGCTGATGAGCTGGAGCAACTGATGATGCCAAAGTAGAAGAAACACTCCCAAAAGCCACATCATAAAGAAAGGATGCCAAACAGAGGTCATAAACAAAATATTGAAGGAAGTAAATGTTAGAAAGAAAAACAACCCAACAAAGTACATCTCAGAATCAAGTAGACAAAATGAGAGAGAAAAAAACGAAAAGAAAGGAGATCCCCAATCTGAAAAAAAGAAATACAAATGGTAAGACATAAGCAATAAGGGAGCCTAAGTTTCAGCAAAAATAACTGGAGAAAAAAAAAACATGCCCATGGAATCCTAAGAGGAAAAGACAAAAGAGGTACTACCTAATCCTCCTCAAGGAGAAGAAACTAAAAACAAAAGCAAGCATGGAAATAACACTGGTGAAACATGTCACAAGATGGGGCAGGCTGAGCTGAAGTAACAGAAACAAGAAGTTGGGAATCCTGGATCTGAGAACAAGAATGGAGCCAAACACATGGTGCACAATGACAGTAATATAACTGACCTCATAGTACCTCCAATTGCCAGAACAGTATTGCAAATATGTCCCAAAGTACAAATTTGATAAAAAGAAAATCAAATTGTATCATTATTTTACATAATCAAGAAATTTAGGAAAGAAAGATCATAGAATGAATAATAGCAAAAGATGAAAATAATAAGAGAATAAATATGTGGAAGTAAGTAGTGCTGAGAAAAGAATTAACCTTTGTTCATGTTCTAGTGTTCATGAGGATTACTGTGCATGAAGGCTATATTGCCCTACTACTGGTGGAGTTAATGACAATTACATCATAGGCTGGCACAATACATGTTAACATGAGTAGGTGTGGAAGTTTTGTTCAAGCCTTGGGGCATGTGCAGGAACTTCCATGGCAGTGAACACAAGGTAATAACTTTTTATTGTGCAGAGAGATGAGTAGCATTTCTAAACAGAAACATACAGTTGGCCTTCATATAGTTTGTAGGATTTGATGTGAAGGGCTTTACAGTAAATCCTACACGTTACTGTAAAACTGGTCAATCATATTAAAATGGGAACGATCTCATGCTTTGTATTTTTTTCTTTTCAAACTGCTGAATATGCACATATACATTAATATATACATATAGGCAAATATTATGCATATTTTTGTATGCACTATTTTTATTTCTAATACATTTTTATGTAAAAAAAAATGTATAATTACACTGATACATACATCATCTGGAGCACTGTTACCAAATATTTATTCATTTTCTTACTTTTTCATACTCATGGTCCAGCTTGCAAGTCAATATGCTAACGTGAAAACTAATGATCATGGAATGCAGAAAAAAAAAAATATAATATATATATATATATATATATATATACAAAAATTAAGAATTACTGAAAAAACTTGAAAATCAAACAGATTACATGTGGATTCAGAGAGTCAGGAGATGGGCCTTATAATCAGAAGTGCAATGGTACCCTCTCAGATTCACCTATGTCCCTCATCTTCATTATGTAACAATCAAAATATCTCTCACTTGCTTTACTACAAAATCTGAGTTAAAAGAAGAAATCCCTACCTTCTGCCTCTTGTACTCTTCATAATCTTGATCATCAGTGTCTAGCTCATGTCGACAAACAGGGCAGGTGTTGGTCTGGTTTAAAAAAAAAAAGAAGCTAATTTATTAGTCTAAACTGACAATTTAACTAAGATTAGCTATGAATCAGTACTGAAGGGAGTGATATTTAAATATTCCAACTAATGTGAAGGAGTAAAACAGAGAAGTTGTAATGTTAGGAGAACTTCAGCTTTATTGTAAAACACAGAAATATTGATATATATACCAAATACACTCTCTACAGTCACTAGAAAGATATGCATTTTAGTTTGACCTCTAATACAAAGGGTACCAAGTCCTGATTACTTACAAATTACAAATACACTTGCCTTTCCTAACCAAGGAAGAACACAGGAAAAATGGAATTTGTGACAGCAAGGCAGTTGTTTCACAACCTCTCCTTCCTCGTATTCTTTCAGACATATTGGACACTTTTCACCTAAGCAAGTTTAAACAATTGTTACTCTAAGTATACTTACCACCTATACAATATAACTCCTATATCAACTAAATTTTCCAATAATTTGGATATGTTTTGGCTACAAAGAAAAGCAAAAAGGCAATACTAGTGGCCCAACTAATGCATTAACAATATCAGGATTTTTGTTGTTTGCTTGTTTATTTGGAGTTAAGCACACAGCTGCATAGTGGGCTATCTGTGTTCTGCCCACCACAGGTATCGAAACCTAATTTCTAGCATAGTAAGTCCGCAGACATACCACTCTGCCACTGGGGGCATTTTTGTTGTTGCTAAGACTTTTTACCCACCCTATAGTATTTTCAGTGTTAATTACACAGAAGACAGAAATAATTTTATGCTTAGATGACAAGAACATTATTAACTACACATTTTGTTCTTTTACATATGCCACCATACGTCACTAATAATATCACAGAAAAAGTTATTTTTAAGAATATACAACATTTTTAGAAACTACAGTTTTCACTTCTTCAAATGTTTTATAGGGTCAAAGCAAATCTATATCTATGAAATTATTATACTGTGACATTGTTAATACACTATCAATGACCATCACAACAGATAAACATTCTTCATTGTAACTAGGAATGAAACAAGAAATCATTGGACTTATCTTTCAGTATAGTTTTTAAATATTGTACTACTTTTCAACTTATAAATATCCACCATCAATTTAAGGCACATTTTTTTGTGAAGCACAACAAAAATAGTTCTCTTTCAAACATTTTACTGACAAGAGTAACACCTTTCAAGACTTCTACCTTCAGAAAAACTTTTTACTGTTTTCAGTTTGGATATAGCTGCTTTCGATGCTGGAGGCTTTCCCCTTTCACCAGGAAAAAGTCTAAAAAAAGAAAACTAAATAATCATTGATAATGTATAAGATAATTCTTAAAAATAAATCAATTCTAAAGTTTTTAAATATCAAAACAATCATCCACTCTACTACTGTGCTAAGAGATTTATGCACTTTTTCTCTTACTCTATTTCAATTTGTATTCGAGAAAAGAGTAAAAAAAAAAGAAAAAAAAGCACTTTACCGTTCAAATTCTATCTGAAGTTCAATTCCTACCCCAGTGTCTAAAAGCAACCTAGATTTAAAAAAAAAATATCAAAACCTTTAACTACAATTATTAAGTATATGCAGAAATGAACTAATACTTTTCTTATCCTATATTTACAAATATATCTAAGAGAAAGTACTTGACAATTATCAAAATATGATAAAAAGGATGCACAAATTATTGCATTGGAATTTCATATAGGTGAAGCTGAATAACCATTTTATGAAAAGTCCAACATTCCACAACAACCCATTCAGAGTGTAAAACAGCTGAAAATTGTTCTAACTAGAGACCAACCAAATTCTTTAATTTCATATCCTACTTAAAATACATGAAACTGCTGAACATACTTCATTTCATGTTTCCTTGATATTTTAATGAATTTCCTTAGTATAGAACTTTGCAGTTTTCCAGAAAGGCTCTCTAACCACTACTATGGCAGTATTTATGGAGATATAAATATGAAAGTCATACCCGAGGTATATTAGCTGCCATTGTCTACACTCACACACACACACACACCTAGTTCACTACATTCACATGATAAACATGATCTTTATCTGATAACAGAGAACAAGATTATACAAAGAATGCATTCACAGGCACAACCATGTGTTCTTTAGTGAAGCCAACTTTTACAGTGGGCTAGATGGTGACAGATATCGTGACATCAGCTAGTTACTTTTATTGCATAAGTTTTTAAAATCTTACTTATATACTAAGTCCAAGAACTTCTGTTCACTGCAACTTGGGAGCACTTTCAATAACTTTGTACTACCCTAGGCACTATAATTATTTATTATAATAAAGAATTATTTGGATAACCGAGCTAATTATAAATATACCACTTTAAAGCTTAAGACAAAGAACTTGAATACCGGTCAGAACAGGAAGCTTTTCAATGTCACTGAGTATGTGAACTTCTAATATAATAGCTTTAAAATACAATACATATAACAATGGGCTATTTGTTCCTTCATATCCAACAAAAAGAAAAGTCAAAATCAAACATCTTTCATATGTTTCAGGAAATCAATGATTCCTCTTTTAAACTCTTATAAATGTGCTAGCCTCCAATATTGTCAACAGCTATGCATTTCATAAGCTAAACAACATTAAAAAACAAAAATTTCTTAACCGGAGCCTAGGCTGTCTTCTCCAAATCTTAAATTTTGTCCTCTCATCTTACTGCCTTCAGAACAGAGCACAAAGAAATTTGATGCCATTATTCTACTAGTCCCATGAATAATCTTTTAAACTTTCATAAGATCACCTTTTACCATTCTTTTTCTAAGAGAAAATAAAATACCTTAATCTATTCACATAAGATAAACTTTCTATCCCCTAAATCATCTAAGTAGTCTTCCCTGAGTGCCTCCAAAGTTGCACACAACATTCAAAGAGAGACCTAACTAGTGATGTTAACATTTCCCAACACTGAAAATGTATTTCTGATAGATACTAACTTCCGCTTGCAAATAGCTTTCCCAATTCAGTGTTGCCCTCTATATGCAAACATTTTTGCTTGCCACTAGCATTGAGGCTCTCACCTAAATTCACATGTTTCTACATGATATTGCTGCATTGTTGCATGCAAATGAATATGTGACGACCTCCAACAATAGAAGTGTGAACCACTTCCTAGCACAGCTGACTCTATACTGATTGTTCAATCATCACTTTGAGATTAGGCAATAAAATATGATGCACTGGAATTGAGAGAGAAAGTGTGAGAAGAGGAGAGTATCTATTAGAAATACATTTTCAGTGCTGGAAAATATTAACTTCTGACACAATATGTAACCTCAGCTTCTATATAGCTAGAACCCCACAGTGAATTAGTGGAGGAACCAGTGCAAAATTTTAACTAGATGAGACCTATTCAGGAAGTTCAACACTATATATCTTGGGAAAGTATAGGGGAAGAGAATGTCACAATCATGGATAGAAGATAGAAGCACAATCCAACACCTGCAACACGCTTTCAGAAGTGCCATGTGTAGTATGGCTAGGACATGTTAGACAGTATGTGGTTGATTGACTCCAGTCCAAAATCAGGCAGCAAAATCAGCTTTTAAGCTGCAGTAGAAGGAGGGCCCCTACCATCTTCATCTGAAGCCTAGTGAGACAGAACAAGAATGCAACATTCAAATTGCAACTGAGTGAGGACTTGGCTGGTCCTATACCAATCCAACACTAGATAATATGGGAAACTGACATCTGGGCAGTAGGTTGGGAGAAATTCAGCCACAGGGATGAACTCTACTACACAGATAGAACCTCAACCCACTCTCTACCAAGTGGAACTGGTCACACTCAGAAGGCAGCCTCTATGGTCCATCACCCTAGCAGCTAGGAACTGGTAAGGACCCCCCCATTCTCCACATTAAAAAAAGGGGACGAAAGTGCATTGGAGAGTCTGGAATTATAAACTCACTCTATAAAGAGTTCTCTACATTAGCTACTTATCACAGAGTAAAGATGAAAATATACATTGGTGGATACAACCAGTAATTTTTCTTTCACAACCAACACTTATCTTTGTTGTCTAGACCATCAACCCTATTCCATACATTCATACATTATTTACAAATACACACACATAGACTGTATATATCTTTCCATTTATACCTGCAAGCAGCTGGGAGTGTCTTTTAGTAAAGGTAATGTTCTTCAGCAATCTACAGCCACAGAAAGAACACAGAAATCAGACTTCTTACTCAGATTTTACAACTGCAAGTAGTGGAAAATCAGACAAACTTTTAATAAAAGAAAGTGTATTCATAGAAAGTAACTGCCACCTTTTAATTCTATATCACAATCTCCTCATGCCTCAATCTCATTTGATTTATAACCCAGTCTATCATTTCTATTTTTATACTAATTTAAGCTTAGTATTTTTAGAAAATTTTTCCCCCTAGTTCCCATCAATATACTTTTTTTTCAACTATACAACATCATTTCATGTTTAAAAAAACAAAACTCTTATAAGCTTAAATCAGCTTACTTGAAAAGGTTAGTCTAAGCCTGATGATGATCCAAATATGATACTCTAAATGTACTGAATATCTTGAATGCATAACAATAATTTATCCTTTTCTTAGTAATCTATTTAATTAGATTATCATCACTAAACAAGATTTCAAGGTGTAAACAATTATTAAGTTAATTCATTATTTGTTGGTTTATTAGCACATGAGGTTATGTCACCAGTTAAAGGTTAGCATATTTTATCTATCAACTGTTAGCAAGGATAACAATGAAGAATTTTCATTAAGAATGCGTCATCTATTGGTGTGTAGTGATTTCATTACTTAAGTATCAAAATTACTTATCAAAATCGGCCAACCAGTTTATCATAAAATGTATGAAAGTCATTAAACGTGGGTATTGTTTTGACCATTTGCTATTCATCTTTCAAATTAATACAATTATGGTTGAGGATGCTTATTGATATTGCTGAAATACATAGTAAAAAAGTATGGAACAAGTTATGTGCTATAAAAACATGTATAAAAATACTACTATTTCTTCATTAAAATGCACAAATCAATCTTATAAAAAATTACATTTGCAATAAAAACTTGCAAGTTTATTAATAATATATTATGCTCAGCAGTGAGTTTGATGGTCTAAAATATTAAGAATTTGGTTTCAATACCCACAGTGGACACCAAACAGCACATCATCAGCTTTATGCTTCACAATAAAAATTTATTATCCTATATGTACAAAAATAAAAGATTTGAAACTATGGGCTCCATACTACAGGCCATCACATGAGCAACACATTATGCTTCTTTAACTTTGAAACTGATTTTGATAATGAAAAACTTTAAAAATTTAGGGGAAAACCACATAAAATTATATTTTTCAATAATAGTACTTACATTAACATGTTAAAGTTTGGATCTTTATCTTAACTTTTAAAGATAAGTGGTGTAATGCATTTTCCTATCTAGTACACGATAATAGTTTATTAATAGATTACGCAGTTCCATGGTTGGACAGAGGTAAGCTTATGTACTTACAAGGCCCGGCATGGCCAAGTGGTTAAGGCACTCGACTTGCAATCTGAGGGTCGCGGGTTCGAATCCCCGTCACACCAAACATGCTCGCCATTTCAGCCGTGGGGGCATTATAATGTGACAGTCAATCCCACTATTCGTTGGTAAAAGAGTAGCCCAAGAGTTGGCGGTGGGTGGTGATTACTAGCTACCTTCCCTCTAGTCTTACACTGCTAAATTAGGGATGGCTAGCGCAGATAGCCCTCGTGTAGCTTTGCGCGAAATTCAAAAACAAACAAACAAACAATGTACTTACAACTCTAGGATCCTGAATTTGGTTCCCTGTGGTGTACACAGCAAATACTCAAATAATATGGCTCTACTCTGTAAGTTAACAATCAATAACAGTGACCATGTTACAACATACTAACAGCAACAAATTTGATGTTGACAACGATTCTTATGAGACTTACTTTTTAATCTTAATATCAAAACAGATTTACAACTAATTCAATATACTTTATAAAGATTTTATAGCTTACCTTGCCAAGTGAAGTAGTTCGTCAGGTTGTTCTCCATAGGCTAAGGGTTTACAGTTATGTTCATCGTAATAACATGCCATTTCTCTATCTTAGTAATAGTAATTTAGAATATTACGAAATACAAGTTCTGAAGTCTCAGTTCTAAAGAAACCAGTAAAAATACAATTTATTACTACGTTCTTCAAATCCTGCTATTCTGCAAATGCTGTCTAAACTTATCCAAACAACACGCGAAATGACACAACAATTTCGAACTGTCTGAAGCTCCTCACTGCACGAAGTAAATTTATATATCACATATGTAGGGGACCATTGTTGGTTTGAACATTTTTAGTAACATTTATTTATGCAGTGTAATACTTTAAAAGTTACGAGTTAAAAGCCGAAAAATAGCGAAGCATTAAAAACCAATAAACCTAAAATTTGTAATAAACATTATGTAGATTTCTATTGTTTTTTTTTAGCCTAACTCTTTAATTTTTCCATTTGGGGTTTAAAATCATCGTTTAATGACTTTAATCTAACTGATGAGCTCTGATATTAAATGAAAGGCCTCTTGTACAGTGACCTGTGAAGGAAACAAAATATATATCTGAACTGCTATTTTTATACGCCTCTGATTTTGATTCTGAAATAGGCAAATTAAGTTTGTTTGAAGATAAGCACAAAGCTACACAATGAGCTATCTGTGCGCTGCCCACCAGGGGTATCGAAACCCGGTTTCTAGCGTTGTAAGTCCACAGACATGTCGCTGTGGGGCAACAAATTAAGAGAAACGTGGAATTTAAATTATTTTTATCAGAAATGTTAGACCCATTTTTAGTCAAATGTTTTATTAATTGTTTACATCTAATTCTTTAGGCTTTTGTTACTACTTTTATAAACATGTTCATGCATGTGAAAAATATTTTTCCCATTGTTTTCCAAATGTTAGGTTCAAATGAAACATATCAACTTGTGTACCTCTTTGATCGTCACTCTTATAATGTTTCCTCAGATCAACAATCCGGCAAGTTAACGGTAGTCTATGCCCGACCCTAAGGTAAATCTTGTCATGTGATATACTGATGGTATAAACTTCAAGCATTACGTTCTAAGTCTTCAGAGTTACTGTCACTGTTAGAATAATTCTCCCAAAAAATAAAATTTCTATGATGAGACAAGACTAAATGTGTAGACTTTATTATTGACTGGTGGTGGGCACAGCACTGATATCCCATTGTTTAGCTTTGTGTTTAATTTAAAAAACAATCAAAATATTGATCATCATAAAAATCTGTTAATTTATTTTATTTTTAAAATCAAATAAACAGCATTCTATCAATTTCTATTTTTCCTTATTAGTAAATTGTATAAAAACACTATGTCTACATTGAACCCAAATATAAAAGAATTAAATAACTTCACTATAAAATGCCACCTATCACATTAGATAAAAAATATAATTATGAGCTGCTTAAAATGTGAATAGTTGATAACACAGGGATGTTAATTCAAGTGTAACGAATAAGGTAGCAAAATAAAATTGTGTTATTAATAATAACTTAGGCCTTAGTTACACAAAAAAGGTCGTATATGAGAACCAGGTTATAGTTTCCCCATCTTCCCTCCTTAGTAATGAAAAATATATAACATGTACATTTTATACAGAATTGATCTTGAACTTGCATGATTTTTTGGAGTAAGTTTACAATTTAGTTAAGCCTTCGGTGTATACTATCCTTATTTGGCCTAGGCCCTACTGAAAATATGACATCATTTAAGTAAACACAACTTAATTAGGAATAAGAAAGAAGACTGATTTGTTTAATCTACAATTAACAGTGTTTAAATTTTAACAATCTATCGAAGAATGGAAAATTTGTAAAAAAAATTTGTGTTCAACTTTTAGAAAAGATGGCCAAATTTAGACTTTCAGTCTTAAGTCATAACTCATATTTTAACATGGAAGATGGACTCGATTGAGCATATTAGTATTATTATATCTTAAGCTTAGCCTACACTAAAGTTGATTACGTTCATCAAAATATGGTGTCACTTATCTAAGTATTACTAAATTATATTTACAGTTGTACCCTTATCCATGTAATACTTGTCATTATGTCAAGTTAGTGCCAGAGACAACAAGATTAAAGATAAAAAATTAACATAGATTAAGTATTACAATTAGGCCTACATCTTTTTTATATTAAGTACAAAAGCCTAACAGTAATTTTATTCTAGGCATATCAGTTTTCAGTGACCTATCACAGAGGATAATGTTATAATAATTTTGACGTTAGCTTTTTTCCAACGTTAGTGATTATGCATTAGAACACAGTTATTGCTAATTTTCCTGTAAATTAGTCTCATATAGTGATATACTATAGTTCCCATTATATACATTGTAGTTTGTAAAAAAAAACAACCAAATTTTACAGCAGGCCAAAATATTTCCATTATCTAAACAGTATAGGTGAAGTAATATGAAATGTGTTACTACACCTGCAATGTACTATTTATATAAAAATTGCACTAAAATTCCTGGTGAGAGCTGGCACTCTACACAACACGAATCTCTTGGTGATTACCATTTTTGCACTAGTAAAAAGTTATGCAACCCTTGATTGAAAAGGTAGGTCAGAAGTAGTTAAAAGTAACTAAATTCATAGGATATGAATGACTGTACTTAAAGTAGATGAGTTTAAATGCATAAAATTAAAACCTAACAAATAATACGATGCTCCTTATAGACAAATTTATTGGCTTGGCTTCCTTCACAGAAGTGACAGAATAGATCTCACCTAAGAAGCACAAAGGCGTCGGAACCGGGGGTCCTGTAGCACCCCTACTTTTATCCATTTGACTTATATAGCAACTGTAAGTTATATTATTATACTAATTTTCTAGAGGGCATGCCCCCAGAACCCCTAGATTGAGCTGCTTTTAGCAGCTCCTTATACTGTCAATTTCTCATTGTAAAATATTATTACGACAGCGAAGTCACGTGACTCTGATTACACGTAATGCGTTCTAGAAAGATCGGGGAACATCACGAATAATCCAATATTTGCTAGACGCCTTCTATTCTTGTATATAAGTGCGCCAGACATTTAATCAGAAATAGAATTGCAGACAGACAGAGACGGACAATTGAGTCAAGCGCGGTAGTAAGTAAGTGCGTTAATCGTTCCTGTGAATTATAATGTGTTTTTATAAAACTGACTGTTAAATTGCTGTGGAAATTAAGTGTATTGCAAAGTTGAATTGAGAAAGAATAAACTAGTTTTATTTAAGAAAGGACTTGTATCGCTGAAGTTTTTCAGAAGGAATTTTTACGGGAAAATAACAATCGACCAGAGATGTAACAATATGAATGTCTAGCAAGCACCCCACCTTACAACTCCTTCCTACACTACTGAAGCAGTAATCCTGAATAACTTAGATAAATACAAAACGAAAAAAAATTGAAAATTGATTTTTTGAACATTCATCTATTACAATATCAAAAAATAGTTTTACACTAAAATAAGTGTTTGACACCATACAATGGTTAAGAAAATATGCCTTAGGAATTATCTTTGTATTGTTATTTCACAAGTTTATGATTAATTCCTGTCCGTATGACAAGTAAAAGAATCGAACGTTAAACTTTTTGTCGTATATCCCAAAATCGACTATTTGTAGAAGGGTAAAGTAATGGTGGAAAGTTAAACTTTTTTGTTGTATATCCCTAAATCGACTATTTATAGATGGGTAATGTAATGGTCGAAAGTTAACATTTTTGTTGTATATCCTTAAATCGACGATTTGTAGATGGGTAAAGTAATGGTCGAAAGTTAAAATTTTTGTTGTATATCCCTAAATCGACCATTTGTAGAAGGGTAAAGTAATTGCAACTATCATTTTCTTTATCTTATTCTTGTTTTTTATCCAAATTTCTTTTGTATTTAAAATCCATATCAGTATTGCCCTCCAGTAGCTCAACGGTAAGTCTGAAGGCTGATAACTCTTAAAATCTGGGTTTCGATGCTTGTGGCGGGCACAGCACAGATAGTTAATTATGTAGCTTTTCGCTTCTCAATAAACAAACAGGTCAATATATAAGTGCACTTCGTCATGTTTGCATGAAATCCCAAACTAGGAGAAATATACAAGTACATACATACAAAAAAGGAATGCACGCCACAATAATTACAACACTAACAGACAACCAACGGACTTTCTGCCTCGAATATACACATATCACCAACTCTAACAATCCACGTTATAGAAAGATCATGACAGACTCCACTACTGACAAAACTAGCTGATAGGTGTTCAGTTTTGATCAAAATTCTAGGTTATAAACGCAGTTAAAACTTATGTTTACAATTCATTGATACCACAGTAGATTACAACAAAAGAGTATTACTTTAAATATTTATATATTGCATGCCTTTTATCACTTTAATACAATAACATACCCTTTGTCTGTGAAAATATTGCAAGGTGAAATACAGAACTGAAGATTGCAATGTTGTAGTATCTGAAAAGCCTGCAGTCGACTACAATAAGTTGCCACATCATACAAAAGCTATTAATATTAGCTATCCCCCTATCACAACAACACAGAATAGATACAACAGTAGACCATGAAATTAAAACCTAATAGATAGTACGATGCTTCTTACAGACACATTTCTTGGCTTTGCTTCCTACACAAAAGTGACCTGGTAATATATCTGGAAATCAGAATATAGAGAACAAATATATAAGGTTTTAATACATAAATGTATGTCAACTTAACAACCAAAATTATGTAGAGCAATATCAGAGTTCATACATAACCACAAAATGACTTAAATACACATTGTGACAGTATCCACAGAATAATTTCATAGTTAACACCACTTTCAGTAGTTAAATACAGTATAAATTCAAACTTTACGCAAGATTTCAAGCAAAGATAGATTAAAAATAAGAAAACTAGGCAAAACTTTATATTCGTAAACTTAGTTTTTCATAAAAAAGTAATACGTAGCTATTTACATTACATTAACGCCCCCGACCCCCAGCGGTAAGTCTTATAATGCTAAAAATCGGGTTTCGATTCCGTGGTGACATAGCACAGATAGCCCATTGTATAGCATTATACTTAACTACTAACAATAAAAATACAAACAGACATTGCACTAACAAACAAGGATACTTTGAATTACAATGAAATAAAACACCACTGAAAACTGTGAAAGAAAATATAACTTGTGGAGTAAGAACTAAATGGGTGACCAGCCATTTTATACACACATTCCAAGT